TTTTTTTTTTTTTTTTTTTTTTTTTTTTTTTTTTTTTTTTTTTTTTTTTTATTTTATTTCTATTTTTTCCTTTTCCCTTTCTGCTGGATATTTCCCCTAGTCCAATACTCTATCTAGGCAGTCGCATTCGGCCCTAGCTATCAGCTGAGCCAGGTCCGGGCCCTGGAGTCCGGTAGTGGCACGTATGCCGCAACTTATTTTTCCGGCGCAGCCGCATGCGTTTAGTTAAAGCCAGGGACAGGAGATAAGAGTCTGGCCAGATGGACTGTTGGCCTCGGCCGAGAATCAATGAGAGACCAAACCCACTGCTTTACGGGATCGGTTGCATAAGGCGGTATGGATCCCAAACCCCTTTACTCGCATCGCAGTATCTCCGGGCCTCGGGAAAAGGAAGTCTAAGTGTACCTAGTAGTATGGAGTTGGAGGTAGGTAAAATAATACTCCGCAGGCAGGAGGTCTGGACTCACAAAGAGCCTCACGTGGGTGTCTGAGCTTTTCGAACACCTTCTGGAACAGTGGAACTACTATACAACTCCAAGCTGCCTGGACTTAGACTAACGATGGATCGCCGAATTAAAGAGTGAACTTCCACCAAAGGTTCGGAGAAACCACGCAACTGATTATTACCTAGTATCATGAAGATCCCCTACCGCACCAGATCCCATGACCCAGCCGTTTGAACAGGAGAACTGCAAATTATTTGCGTCAACAAGAGGCAATGGACGCTGAGAACCTTGCTCATGACGTTTAACGGCGTCTACGAAGGTGATGAAGTTGGCGTCTGGGGTACCTGATTATCTAAATATGATCACATTATTGAGGGCAGTGTCTGGTCGCCACTGCTTGCTTGGACTGGTTGCCTGCGGAGTCGACACGGATCTTTTCTTTTCGTATAGGCGAAAGTCGAGTGACCAAATAGCGGGGTAGGTCACATATCTGACGGTGGACGTAAAAAAGAAACAATAGTAATAATAATTAAAGAGGGTTATATGCAAGTGTCAAGACCGACTCAAGAGCTGGAGGCGGACTCACGATGCCGGCGATGAGCGGGACTTCCGCAGACGGTAATCCGAGGAGCTGGCAGCTTGATTGTCCACGATGGAGACTCCAATCAGTTTCCAGATTCAGCCAGAGTATATTCTTAGCACAGTTCCTGATGTATGGATGGGGTCATGTATGTCCATGTGAGCAAGAAAAAAAAAAAAGGCAAGAAAAGGCAAGAAAAGGTACTCCTTGCCTCCAAGGCTACTGGTTACGCCATCTTGGAATGGACAAAGTACACTGGAGGGGTGCTTATATATTCCCTCTTCGTCCAGAATTGCTCTACGCCTCTCTCCTAACTAACTAACTGTACTGTGTGCCTATAGTATTTCACTTTCTTGCTTCTTCCTGTGATACCCCTGTCACCACACACAGACTCTCCCAGACATCCGGTTGGAATTGAGTCGCACCTGTCTACACCTTTCCTAGGTAAGCGAACCCTGCTGAGGCGTCGATGGAGCAGGTGAATTTCTGCTGCAATTCCGGCACTGGTGCAAGTGGTATAAGAAGCTGGAAGCGGCTGTTGACTGAGAATCGTACCTTAGCTCGAGTCCCTCCACCCAGTCTACCTGGGTACCTATCTCGATACTTCTCCACTTCCCCACAGACCGACAGACCTGATCAATACTTCCGCAGGATTCCTGGAGAATCTCGACTGGAAACCCCCGGAATCCTGTTTTCGAACAATAACGCCCAGACTACCTCGAAGCGCGCAGATACATAAAGGCCAGGCAGCGTCCCTGTTTCCATCGGACGAGAGTCTTCCTTATACCCTGGTTGCGCGCTACGATTCACACCCCATACCTTGGTTATACCCCACCATATCCAGATTCAATCCACTGATCATCCAGCCGTGTTCTCATCATGCAAAGTATGTTTCTGAACCACCCATCATCGCATTTGCAAATCCGGCTCTCATACCCATGATCCTCATCACACCCCACGCTGTCCTCCACACACCCCCTCACGATCGCCGTGAAGTCTGCATTGACGGTGGATTTGACTCCACCGAGTAACCTACCGGAACTAATGCCCGAACTATACGTATGCTAATGTCCTACAGCCAAACATTTCTTCTCAGATCCGAACCATCTGGTTCAAACTGCCCTAAATTCCCTGACTCTTACGAATCCTTCTCTCGCATATGACTCCGAAAATAAGATTATTTTTCGTCGCGCCGAAGTTGCGAAGAAGGGAAAGGTCGCTATTGTCTCCGGTGGAGGTTCGGGCCACGAACCCGCTTTCGCAGGATATGTTGGCCAGGGTCTCTTGGATGCCTCCGCGGCGGGTACTATCTTCGCATCCCCTGGTGCAGAACAGATCCGCATCGCCGCAATGGAGCGTGTCAATAACGAAGCAGGTGTGCTCATTATTCCCATGAACTATACTGGTGATGTTCTCCACTTCGGTATGGCCGCGGAGAAGGCCCGGGCTGCGGGTATCAAAGCCGAGTTCTTCGCCATTCACGACGACGCTGGTGTTGGTAAGAAAAAGGGTGGCAAAGTTGGCCGCCGTGGTATTGGCGGTGGTATCTTGATCCTCAAGATTGTTGGGGCTCTGGCAGAGGCCGGGTAAGCTTGTTCTGCGCCGACAACAGACCCTTCAGACTAATATTCTATAGTGCCTCTCTCGAAGATGTTTACAAAACCGCCCAGCTCGCAAATGATAATCTTGCATCCGTTGGCTCTTCCCTAGAGCATGTCCACATTCCAGGCAGAGAGCCTTCCAACGACTCAGTCCCAGAAGGTGAGGTCGAGGTGGGCATGGGCATTCACAATGAGCCTGGATCACATCGGGTCAAGACCACACTTGTAGAGTTGGTAAAGACGATGCTTTTCCAAATCTTAGATCACAACGACCCCGACCGCGCCTACATCACGCACCAGCGAGGTGACAAGTTCGTATTGCTGATCAATAACTTGGGAGGCGTAAGCACGCTCGAGTTGTCGGGTATCACCGACGAAGTGTATCGCCAGCTTGAGAGAGACTATCAGATCAAGCCAGAGCGTGTTATTCAGGGGACGTTCCTCACCAGTCTTAATGGGCTGGGCTTCAGTATCTCGCTGCTCAAGCTGGCAGACACCGGACTCGGCCCCGGCAAGTCCTTCCTTGAGCTCCTCGACGCCCCAGCTGAGGCTGTCGGCTGGTCCGCTCCTATCAGCGCATCCACCTGGGAACACCGCAACTCCCCACCCGTCGAGATTAAGAAGGTCAAGCCCGCCGAACAGCCGCCCAGTAATGTCACACGTGAGTACCCAGCCTTTTACCCATACCGTGAGAACTCTGGTAACACAGTAGCAGTCGACATCGGAACAATCAGGAAGGTTCTTGGCACCGCCCTCAAACACGTCATCGATGCTGAACCCCAAATCACCCGC